CAAAAATAATATTGTGGTTAGGCATTTAATTATAAATTAAAAATTTAAGTTTAAAATTACATAATAAATGTTTAGTTAAGATATAATTTTAAGATTTAAAATATATAAATAATTTTTGTGTGTGTGTTAGTAACAAAAAATGGGGGGTAGAAGAAACCAAAAACACAGAGAGAAAGCTTGTTTTTAGATCCCACATCTAACAAAGAAAAAGTGCCCCTTCATGTATAAAAGAAAAGCACACGCATCACTTGAAGCAAAAGGGAGGCATTAAGCAATTTGTAAAAATTGCAACTAATGACCCAAAGATTTAAATAATTAAATTCAAATTTATAGTTTTTTTAATAATATAATTGTGGGACCTACAATCTGCGCAAGAGAGTTTATTTTTTTTTTTTTAAAGTATGCTCCAATTTTTCTATTTAGATTAGCATTTAAAAAATTATTTAGTTACAAAATTAATTTTGTAATTATTTTCTAAATAATATTAGCTTTTTAATTATATGATTATTTTATAGAGTAGAGCAAATATTTTGATTAGAATTTTTCTATAAGATAGTTAATTTGATAATATGATAGATTAAAAATACAAGTTGAAGCTTTAGAGATATAATAAATATTGTAAAATATTTTCTTGAGGTTGAAACTCGTGTTTAAAAATTTTTAAGTTAGACTCTAAATCTATACGGTTAAATTTATATTGAATTTGAGATGTAGGGCTGAACTTTTAATTATTAAATATTTATTTAAGTATAAATATGTATTTCTAAGGCTATAAAATGGTGATTTGAGGCTTCAGGGTAAATCTAAAATTTTTAATTTATTTTTGGATGAATTTTTTATAATATAGAAGGATGAAATTGTGATACTAGAAGTGATTTGAGGCTTAAATATAGTTTATTAGAGTATGATAATTTTAGAAAAAGAATTTGAAAAGTTAAATGAGACATAAACCTTCAGTTAGTGTTAATATGGATCTTAAGCCTAAGACTTTCTAACTCTTTAAATTAGAGTTATTTATTAATTTTAATGTAAAATTAATATATAGTATCATGGAATAATTATGTAGATTGTATTGATAAAGAGAGTGGTGAAAGAGAAGCTGTGAAGGTGAACTTGTTCAAAACACAAGGTAACCATTATTAATGTGTTGTGATAGGTGTGATTGGTTATGTGTTGTTTTGTTGTTTGGAAAAATTATGAATTATAAATTATTAAAAATAAATACTATTACATACTTGTTTGGAATTATTGTCAAGTGAGTCAAAAATTTATTTTTGTTTATCATGATGAGATATTATTATTCGGTTATATTCTTATTTGGATATTTAGATGATGTATGATTTGTCAACGTATTTTAATATATGGTATTATTAAAAATTTATGTCTGGTTAATTATTACCATGTGGTAAGCCCTTATTAGACCCTAAGTGGTGTATAACTTAGTCCAACTCACCTTTGGCTGGGTGATTTGGCATCCAGGCATGGCAAAAGGAGGATATAAGGTGTAGTCATGCAATTAAATACTTGTTTGGTTTGTTTGAAAATACTATTCGGTTAAATATTTTTGTGTGCCCACTTAGCAATTGCATGATTAGTTATATCTATATGCATCATTACGTATTATTTTTTTGATTACTATGATTTTTAAGTCTCATTCCCTGTGGTTAATATTTTTACAGGAGCGAGTTCGGCCGAGAAAGCACCAGAGGCGTAACTTTAGTGCATGAGACACCATCTTTTACATTGTCTCTTATTTTGGATCATGCAATGTATGTAGTGCCAACTTAAGACATATCTTATTTTGTAGAGCATATAGACTCTAATCCTTTTTATTAAATGATTCGTCCATCTTGATTCTTAAACTGATTTGAATATCATGTCATGAGGATTCTGTCTATCCCTTATGGTTCCAATTGCTTTTTGATTCACATAAAAATATTAAAAAAATTGTATTTAGAAATTATTTGGGATTCTGTCACCTTAAGATAGACTTTTACACTAAATACTGATTTAAAAATTATTATTTTCTTTGCTATGAATTGTTTTTACATTGTTTTCTATTAGGTAAAATTTTATTATAAATGTATTTTCAATTATCATGGTAGAGCTTATTCATTATGTTAAATTCTTTCTACTACGATAGGCTATTTGTAAAATATTTTATTTATATGATAAACTCTTTTCTACCATAGTAGAGTTTTGAAAAGAAGTTTAGTTATTTATTTTAGGGTAGAAATTATTTTTCTACCATAATATGGGTTTGATGATCTAAAAATGATTTTATTGAACTAATAATTTGTGAAAAATCAGTTTGAAAATTTTAGGGTGTTACAAAAACCCTAATTTATATGAAGGGAGCGTGCTTCTTAATGAGAGTTAGAAAAATCTTGACAGTAAAACACATTGAGAGCCAAAGAAATACCCTAAAAAAAAAGTAGTTTAACATTTTGAAAAAATGGACGAGCATTTTTCAAGCGCTAGCACATTGTTTGAATTAGAAAATTATTCGTGTGGATATCAATAGAGAGAATAGATCTACATTATCAGCTTCTAAGATCTAATTTATTGAAGACAACATGTGAAGAGGTCGCACTTAAAAAGGTACTTGTTTTATTTTATTCATCTTGACTTTAATGAGTTCATTTGATACACATCAAGATAGGGGATTTAAAAAAATTTTAATCTTCCGCTGCACCCCCATCCAACATTAGACCCATATGATCACATTAAAGTAAATTGGTGTTTTTTGCCTCTTGGATATTTGTATTAGGTGTAGTATATTTGATTCAAGAGAGGGGTATAATTAATTGAAGATAATTATTGTTATTAATATTCTAGATTAATGACTTAATATTAAGTGAATTTATTTGAATAATTACATACTCCATGAATCGAAGAAGAAATTAGCCATGCTATTTGCTTTGATTATTTATAGTTGTTGGAACTTTAATTTTAATACATTTATATAACTTCAATTTTTTATGTTGCGAACTCAAATCTAAATTTTGTTATGATCAACTTAAATGAAAATGAAGAATTTATAATTATCAATTAATTTAATTTTCTGTGAGAACAACCTTAATTTATCATTTACTATTTTTACAACCCATGCACTTGGAAAATCAGTGAAATCATTTACACGTTTGTGCGCATCACTCATCATCATGGAAATTACTAGCCAAAGAATCAAGTAATGATCCATTGTTCATCATCAAACAACTTATTAAAAAAGGGGGGGCTATATCTTGAATCTCCTCCACTTCATACATCCAGTTTTCCTCTTCATCCTGAAGCAAGAAAATCCTATTTCACTCTCTTCTGGCATTAGTTGTAGAATGAAAGTAGTTAGAATTCCTATCCCCAAGACAATACCAATCACACTTGGCTTTTTGAGGCCAAAGCAAACTTTCCTAATTTAACCCCTCTTCAATTCTAGCTATAATTTCACTTGAAGCTGCTCAAGACCCATCTTCCTCCTACATCTTTAAAAGAATTGGCCGATGATCAGATTTAAAGAATGAAAGATTCAAAACAAATGCTACTATTTTTTTTTTTTGGATTCTTTACAAGGTTAAGGTGTAATTTTACCCCCAATTTTTTTCTTAAGAAGCAACTTTACTCCTATATTAATAAGTAAAGCAATTTCAAAGAGCACTAGGCACCTTGTAAAAGGAGTTTTTTTCTTCTCGAAAAAATAGTTCAAGGATAAAATTACTCCATTTATGAGTATAGAGATAAAATTGTTCCTCAAAGAAAAGTTTAAGGGTGATATTGCATATTAACCCTTCTTTATATATTATTTATTTTAGGGAGAATACAATTATCGGTCTATATAGTTTCATCGAGTTTTATTTTTAATCTATATAGTTTTTTAGTGTTGTCAGTCCCTATAGTTTTAAAAAGATTGAATGACCTTTATTTTTCAAGACCTTATAGCTTCCGTTTTTCAGCATTTTTGATCTCTAAAAACACAAAAAAACAAAAAGGATTAAAAGCAAAACCCAAAGAAACTATAGGAAACAAAAATTATGTTTTTCCTTTAATTTATAACAAACTCTTATTATTAATATTATTAATATATTAAAATTCACTTATTTTGATTTGATTAGATAAAAGTGCATTACATAAAATTAAGTACCTAAATCTTGTCTTTTATTATTATTTTATAAGATTTTTTGGCCAAAAATTATTTCATAAGATTAAAAAATCTAAATGTTGGCCTAAATAGTTCAAATGGATATGCGTCCTCAAGAATGAATCTTTTAAAGTTGGGAACAATTAATGTGCTGGGTGAAATTAACTGTGATCCATGTGTATTAGTCCAAAATATGAGAAACAATGCACCGTACTATTCATCATGGTGATCAGTATAACCAAAATTCATGATAATGAATTTTAAAAGGAATATATAAATACTAGTATTCAACTTTTTTTTTTATCCGGGAAGTAATCAATAAAAACATTTAATAAATGGTGATAGTATTCAATAGAGTATTTCTAATCAAATAAAAGATATATTCTTCCGAATCATAATATATATCATTATTAATTAATTTATGATTTATAAAAAATATTAATTGAAACCTGATTTTTTAAAAAAATATTTATATCTTTTTATTTATATCCTTTTAATAGTTCTTACTTCCTGAAAACATGTACCAAGGAATAGAAAAAAAAAGGTATAAATGAAAAAAATATATAAAATTTACATAATATCCTATATTTTGGATCAAAAAGTACTTCTAAAAAGCGATTTATATTATGGTTAAGAAGAAATACATATAATGTTTTTGATTTATTTATACTTATCTTTTTTGGGCATATATTAATGTTATTAATTGAAAGAAAGTAATGACATTTATATACACCATAAAAAATAAGTGCAAATAAATCAAAATCATGATATGTGTATGTTTTATTTGACTATAAATACACTATAAGTCATACTGTGTCTCCAATTGAAAATATATGTATCAAGTGGATAAAGAAATTGAGCAATGATGAATCCAAGTAGAAGGAGAAGCCTGCTTTTTGAAATGCTTGTGATGCTTCTGGTGATATTCTCATCAACAAACATTATTTGTTGCTCTTCAAGCTTCACAAATTTCAGAAATCTTCTTCATAATGGCCTTTCTACTACTCCGCCAATGGGGTAGGTATTTTTGGACAGCAAATTTTTTAAAGTTAAGATTCATGAATTTCTGTGAAATTTTTTAGGGTAAATAAGTAAATTATTCTTTAAATTTTAGATCTAGTACCACTGACCCTAAACTTATTTATTGTGAAAATAATTTTCTAAACTTTTGAAAACTTTACAATTTGAACCCTATCGTTAAAAAAAGTTAACTTTGACCGTTGACTAGAAAATAACAAAAAATGATTAAAAATTATAATAAATGATCCAAAATTATAGAAAAGGAACAAAAAAGAATTTGATCCTTTTTTGTAATTTTTTATGTTCTTTTTTTTATAATTTTCTGATTAACTAACGATCAAAATTAACTTTTGTTAACGATAAGAGTTAGACTGTACTATTTTTAAAAGTTTAGATAATGATTTATACAATAAACGAGTTTGAGGTCTATAATACTACTGAATCTAAAATTTCTGAGGTAATTTGCTTATTTATTTATATATATATATATATATATATATGTTTCCTTGTTTTATTTTGCTTATAAGAAATGAATTTTTAACTCTCTTACACATAAAAGTAAACTTTATGAAATTGGCGGATTCCTAATTTCAAAGGTTCCAATCCTGTCTTTTTTTTTTATTATCATTATTTGTGTTCTTTTAATACAATTTCACAAATTTTACTACCTGATATTATTAGGTTGGATGAATTGAGTAGTATCGGAGACAGCTGAGGATAATTATAATTACGAATATATTTTCTCCTTTTTCATTTTATTGAATTTTTGTGAATAACTTTTTTTATGCAGATGGAATAGTTGGAATCATTTCGGCTGCCAAATTGACGAAAATATCATACGAGAAACAGGTACATTTTGCGATTAATTTGTCATATGAAATTTTAAAAAATTAATAATATTTGACTTTATATCAAAAAAAATATATTAATTAATAATTTAAATTAATTTCGGGTGTGTAAAATCACAGCCGACGCTCTGGTTACAGCTGGTCTATCCAAGCTTGGATACACCTATGTCGTCATAGGTATGTTCATCATTATTATTTCCCTCAAGGTTTATTTATTTATTTATGAACAAATTAAAATAATAAATTAATTTTTAAATTATAGGTTCAAAAATATCTATAACTTTAAACTTATTTTTTTGTGTAATATTTCTCTTTAAATTTTAAAAATAATACAATCTGATTTTGACTTTTGTAATTAAGAAAAGTTAACTTTAATTTTTAATTAATCAGAAAATGATATAAAAAATATCAAAAATTACAAAAATAAACTAAAAATTTATGATAAATGATTCAAAAATTATAAAACATTACAGAATGACCAAAAAATTTATTAGTTCTTTTTTGTAATTTTTCAGATTATTTTTTCATCATTTTTTGATTAACTAGTCGTCTAAGTAAATTTTTTGTTAACCAAGAAATCAAATTACACTAAAAATAAGTTTAACATCTTAGATGCTCTTAGATTAATAATTTAGAGGCTAACTTTTTATTTTTACCCTTTATTTATTTTGCATTTGCAGAATGTCATAAACTTGGTTAAATAATCTTGATAAGAAAATCACTGTTGATTTTTGCAGATGATTGTTGGGCTGAATCGTCTCGCGATGAAAAGGTGTATATATTAACCGTAAAATAATTAAATAGTTTTATGGTATTAAAATTAAAAATTTTATTAAACACACGAACAGGGAAATCTGGTGGGGAAGAAGTCAACGTTTCCTTCAGGCATTAAAGCTCTCGCAGATTACGTTCATAGCAAGGGCCTTAAGCTTGGCATTTATTCAGATGCAGGGTACGTACTTCATTAATTAAATTAATTAATCAGTTAACACTAATCTTTGTTTATTTTATGTTTAATCACAATCATGATTATTAAATTAATACTGGTTGGAGCAATTTTGCAGGTATTTCACTTGTAGTAGACAGATGCCTGGTTCACTTGGTCATGAACAGCAAGATGCCCAAACCTTTGCATCATGGGTATATAATTAAATCTTCTGGCTTATTCCTGTGTTTCTTTAATCCTTTTTAGGTTATCAAAATAATATTAGGAATTAAATATAATATACGAAAAATCTAATCTAAGGATTTGTGAAGAAAGTTGTTTGCAAATAAGGATTAATAATGAGTAATCATTAAAAAAAAATTATATTCTCATTTTTAACGACAATCATTTGATACTATTTAAGTCGTTGGATGCAATTTTCCCTTAAATATAATTAATAAGAAGTCTCATGTTAAACAAAATTAAATTAAAAAAAATCTGTATGTGAACTATATTATTCCAAATAATTATAATTATGTAAGTGTATATCTCTTCTTGAAAAGATAAGGACATTGTCATGTGGGCCCCGCATGAGCCGTGGCACCCCAAGCGGGTGTATTTCCTTAACTCAACTAGATCTTGACCTGTGCGATGTGCGAAAATATTTTTGTTTTTTTGTTTTTACTTGTTTAGAAGTATTGTAAAAACTTGTTTGAATTTTTTTTTAAAAAAATATTTGTAAGAATCTTTTATCATTTGAAGGGTAAGCATAAAATAAAAAAAATAAAAATTTTAAAATAATTTAGTTTTTGTATACTCATGATATGTTACTTTATGCTAATTTAAATTTAAATAAAAATTTATTCTAGCTTAGAATTTTTTTTACACAAATATATTAAAGATATAAATAATAATTTATTTTTTAAAAAATATGTTGCATGCATAATGGATTTAAGAATACAACAACTATATTTGTACTTTTCCTTTAATTGATGTGAGGAGAAACTTTGAAATTATGTTAAAAAATACACTTTTTGTTAAATTCTTTTTTTTTTGGATTAAATTTTACCTCATAATTAATTGAAAAAGAAAATTTATTCTTCAACAAATATTATTAGATTTTTACTGGCCCGGTCTAAATTTCTAAGCATATCGTGCAAAATAAAATTAGTTTATTTCTTTAAAAATTTGGTGGTAAATGCATCCTAAGAAAAATAAAACATTATCATAATCATATGAATAATAATTTTAAATTAAGAAAGTATAATAACCAATAGTATAGTACTATTTATTAATCATGTGTATGTCTATAATGATAAAAACGGTGATTAAAAAAATGTATGATCAAGAGGTATATAGTGAAACATAACTTCATCAACCTCATATGATTAAATTTAAAGTACATGATTACAATAGTTTCAGTAGATTTTTAAGCTGTGGTATATGTTTATATATTAATAATAAATTTGTTACCTCATGCATATCAAGAATATTCATTATAATTTATTTTATTTCTGTATACTATTTCATAATTTGTTACTCTTGCGTAAATAAAAAATATAATAAACAATTTGTTAGATATCCTATGATGTGTTATTCTCACATAAATTAAAATTTAAATAACAATATATTTTACTTTATATTTTTTTATTTTGAAATAACATTATATTTTATAAGTTAAATTTTGAAATTTATGTATTATTGCATTTAAATTAAAATTTACATAACTCTTTATATTTTTAAATTTTTCTTACTTACACATTGAAAACATAAATAACTTACTTACTAAAATTTTGACCATACATATTAATTTTGATATTATTAATAGTAAAATTGAAAAATTATTGTGATATTATCTTATATATAAAAATATATATAAGCCACTTATGATCGTTCAACATACAATTTGTTTTAAAAAAATTAAGCCACTATTTATCCCAAATAAGTTTATTTTATTTTATAATTTATTATCTTGTATATATTAAAAATAAAATTAAAAGTTATTCTGCACAAAATTTATTATTTTATGTGAGTTAAGATTTAAAATAATAAAAAATTATCTATCGAATTATACACACTTTTTTATAATTTATATAAATTAAGTTTGTAATTTCATTGCAATAAACCATTCTATTTTATGATTTATTATTTAAATTTATATTTTATAATACAGGTAATTATGTTGTATATACAAAATACAAGTAACAAATGATAAGTAGAGTTTCTGTTTTTAAAAAAATATTAAGTCTTATATTATTTGTTTATTATAAATAATATTGACAAATATTTTTATTATGGGTCCCACACCTATTTTTTTATGAATCCCACATGAGATTTTAGTTTACCAGAATTATATTTTAAAAAAAGAATTATTTTTTATGGTAACTGTTATATGCACCTTACATATATATAGATTTTATTTGTAGGCTTAGATGCTTCTTCTAGATCACATTATAAAGGGGTTAACTAATTTAAATTTCTTAAAAAATTTGATTAAAATCTTAATTTTTTAACTAATAAGTTATTGTTAACTAATTTACATTTCACAAAAAAAATTTGGTTAAATCTTATTTTTTAAAAAAAAATTTACACATTTTTTTTCAATTGTGTCCTTAAGTGTAATAAATATAATATTTGACTTATTCAAACTATTTTTATTAATTACTCAATAAAGTAAGTTGTAATTGGAAAAAACAATATAACACTTATCCAAAACTATATATTTTAGTTAAGTAAAATTTAGGGATAATATCTTTCTATCCTCAAGAAGCACATGTTTCAGGAAGCAGACGGAAGCATATTAGAAAATAAATCTATAATTTTATTCTAATGCACGAGTCAAATAAAGAGAGGTCTGTCCAAAGTGCTTCACAATCTATCATATTGACATGCGTAATACTTATAAATTAGCTTGTGCAACACGTGACTTAATATTTTTAAAATTATATTCTTTTTATTCAAATATTATATATTTATAATATCTGAATAATTTTGCTTTATCATATTATAGTGCATATTTGTGTTTGTTAAGTGTTATTTTTATGATCACGATTATTTGATAATAGGGCATTGATTATTTGAAGTATGATAACTGTTACAACGATGGAACATTGCCAATAAAAAGGTAATCCAAAATTATTTATTTTGAGAATTATATTCAAGGTTAAAATTGTTTTATTACTGTTAGTTAATTATTATTACTATTATTACTATTATTGCATGATGTCTGTGTTGTAATTCCACTTTATACAGATACCCTGTAATGGGTGAGGCTTTATCAAAGGCGGGTCGTCCAATCTTCTTCTCTCTATGTCTATGGTAAAAACTAATAATAATAATAATATTGGGTTGTTATTTTGATGATATTCTAAATTTACAAAAATAATGTGCTTTCCCCTTTTTATTTTGAATTTTTACTGATTTTGATTATAGGGGAGACACGCGTCCTGCTTTGTGGGGTGGTAAAGTGGGAAATAGTTGGAGAACAACCACTGATATTTTCGATTCATGGGAAAGGTATTAATAAATTGGTACTCCTAAATCCTCTAAAATTAATGTTCAATTTTTTTTTAAATTTTATTATTTTTTATAAAATATAAATCTTAACTCTCTTCCTTAAAAAAGATAAACATATGAAATTCACGCATTCTTGATTTGAGAGAATATATTCCCAATGAATTGATAATCACATTAGTGAACATGATGGTAGCAAATAGTAAGGAAACAAGAATATTATTCATATATTTTTTCTGTAATATATTATTAAATATTAATAAATTGATTATTGTTGTGTCTATCAGTATGATTAGCAGGGCTGACATGAATGAGGTTTATGCTGAGCAGGCAAAACCTGGAGGCTGGAACGGTTAGTATCCAGTACTTTTATTTAATTCTTTTTATTTCCAAGTTGAAAAATTTTATATGAAAAATACTTAAATTTATTGACACTACCTATTATGTGTATTTATACTCCCACATTTAAGTCTTTTTTTTTTTTTATTCAACCGTTGAAAAATCTAGGGATACTATTATTTCCTGTTGTGACTAATTCAAATCCCACTATGTGTGAAATCATTATTACTAACAATAACTTTATAAGTATCTAAAGAATATATTTAATGTATTTATTCTAAGTGATTGTATATTAGAATAAACCGATCTAATTTTTGTAACTAGTTGAACGTAACATAATTGGTTGTAACTTTTAAGTCATTGTATATAAGTGACATGACATTTCATCACTTTGAATAAAAAGTGAATATCATTGAAGGACCCTGAAAAGAATTAATATATGATAAAAAATTTGAACAAATAAATATTGACAATTAATAAGTATTTCATCCGTCCAACTCCTTATTATATATTAAATTCTTTTAAAGATTCTTAATTGATATTCACTATTGAATAAATCGCATTTTATCATTTACTTTTATTACCATCTCAACAAGTATTTGATCAATGTAATACCCCATCAATAGACCAAGCGAATTAAAATGTGGAATTCATATTTGGAAGATCTTCAAATAAAAATCAGGGATGTGACATAATTACTAGTGAGTTTAAAAAAATTTAAAATTTTAGTTTAGTCTAGAAGGATAAAAGTAAAAATAATTTTAACTATAAAAAGATTAAAGTGCCGTCACTTATTACGTAAAATTATTAGTTATTAATTTTTTTAATTCACTTGTTAATTTACTAATATAAGTTGACATGTCAATAATTATACAAGAATTGACATTAGTTGTTCAATTATAAGTAACAATATTAGTTGTTAAATTATCAATTTTACTTGTTAATTTGCTAACATTAATTATAAATTACTAGCAAGTCTTGTATTTTATAAACACCAATTATAAATTACTAACATGTCTTGTAATTTATAACTGATGTTAGTAAATTAACAAATAAAATTAGTATATTAACAACAAATGTTACTGCTTCTCTGACAAACAGGTATAATTTATAAGGGATATTAGTAAATTAATAAGTAAAGTAAGAAAATTAATAACTAATGATTTCGCATAATAAGTGAAGGATACTTTGATTTTTTTACAGTTAAAATTATTTTTACTTTTACCCCAAAACCAAACTGAAAATTTAAAATTTTTTAAAACCTATTAATAATTATGTTACGTTCCTGATCCTTATTTGAAATTTTCCCTCCATATTTCATACGTTTGAATTTAATTAATGATTGATGATTTGAGTTTAAATGAGCAGATCCTGACACGCTTGAGGTGGGAAATGGAGGGATGACCACCGATGAGTACATTGTCCACTTTAGCTTATGGGCTCTTTCCAAGGTAACATACATTTTTGAGTTCATAAATTTTACAGCTTTCATTAAATATAGTTTTATATTAACAAAGTTAGTTTAATTGATAAAAATTTGACCTATAATTTATAAGATTGTGAGTTTAAATCTCACTATTAATATAAAAGCTTTATTGGTGAGTAATCTTCAAGTATCTCTATAAGTGTTTTTAAAGCTTTGAGATAAACTATAACCATAATAAATTTTTATAACGTAATTCATCTAAACTTTCTAACATATGAAAATATATATTTTTCATCTCTGCTTTGAAAAAGTGTTCAATTAAAAATTAACCCTTAAATTATAAGTCCAAAAACTTTTATAACCTTAAACTTATTTTTAGTATAATATTTCTTTTCAACTTTTGAAAATTATATAATTTGAACTCTAATATTAATAAAAATTAATTTTGACCTTCAATTGACCAAAAAATATAATAAAAACTCAAAAATTATAAATAAGGATAAAAAAGGATTGATAGTAATTATTTGATGTTCTTTTCTAGATAACTGGCAATTAAAACTAACTTTTATTAATAGTAAGAATTAGATTGTATTGTTTTCAAAAATTTTAAAAAATTATATTAAAAATAAATTTAAAAATCTTAAACGTTCCTGAATTTATAATTTAAATGCTAACTTATTTTTTTATCCTTCTAGACAAAAATACGGTGGTGCAACATGTGCGTCATAAAAAGAATTAGTTATTAATTATCAATTAGGAAAAGACAAAACCAACATCCTTTTATTTACATGAAAGTTTGCAAGTCACTAGACAACAACACCATTAATGAATTATGAAATACTTTGATATCAAAACAATTTAGCTTTCATTTTCCTTTTTTTCTTGGCAGTCTTATGCTTGCTTTGCTCTTCCTGAAAGCAGATCTTCTCCTCATCTCTTCCCTCTTTTTCTTTTCCCCATCCCCATCTCCACCTTTGGTTAAAAAATGAAGGGCTCTGAGTCAATTATTTTATAAAACAATCATCAAACTATCATAATAAAAAATAAATAATAATTTTAAACTGTTAAAATTTAATCTGTATAGTTTATAATTGCAATAAAATAATTAAGAAAAATTTATTTTATAGAAAATTTAATAACAACATATAACTGTCAATGATGCAAGTCAAATTTTAACAGTTTAGATTTATTTTTATTTTTATGTAACAAGATAATTATTTTATAAAACAAATAAATCTGGACCATTCATTTTGTTATTTAAGGGTGTTATTTAAGGGTGAAGATGAGAATGAGAAGAAGAAAAGGAGAGAAGGGATGAGGAGAGGATCCGAACCACCCTTCTTTACTCCTTTTGTTCATTGTAAACTCTATTTTATTTTGTTGCGCTTGTATATCTATAAATGTACATGTGCGTATATAATTTACACAAAATTGATTTATAAACAATGAATAATATAATTTATTTTATATACTCTATGTAATATATCATAGACCTGCTTAATTGCCCATATAATTTCTTTAATTTTATATTTGTTGAATTGTGAAGCCAAGTAAAATGCAATTTCTTGCAGGCTCCACTTCTTCTGGGTTGTGATGTTCGGAATATGACTAGAGAGACTCAAATGATAATCTCCAACGAGGAGGTTATCGCAGTTAACCAAGGTGATTATGAGACATCACCCATACTTGTATTTGTATTTTTTTAATAGATCTATATATATATATATATATATATATATAATTAAACTTTTGAAAAAAAGTGCAGCTGATTTTAATAGGTAAATCTTTCTAAATTTTAGATTCAGTAGCACTATATGTCTTAAACTTGTTTATTTTGTAAATTATTTTCTCAACTTTTAAAAATAGTACAATCTAGCCTGACTATAAAATGATAAAAAAAGATCAAAAAATTACAATGAAGAACCCAAAAATTTTGGACAATGATCCCAAAAAATTACAAAAAAGACCAATTTTTTTTATCATTTTTTATAATTTTTAAATTTATTTTTTGTCATTTCTAGTTAACTAACTGTTAAAATTAAGTTTGTTAATGCTATGGGTTAGATTAAACCATTTTTAAAAGTTGAGGAAATAATTTATATAAAAAATGAGTGCTATTGAAATTAAAGTTTAAGGGATGATTTATCATTTACCCACTTTTTAAATAATTTTTTTGTTGCTCTAATTTTGAAATTTATTTTTAAATAGTTCTTAATTAACTCTCTTTCTCAACAGATCCACTGGGCGCGCAAGGTAAAAAGGTTAGGGTGCACCAATTTGATGTTGAGGTGAAAATGCTAAGCAACACCTCTTCATTATATGACAATTTTTGCTGTCATACATTTATTCTACTCATGCGCACAAGATTAAATAATACTATTGTTTGTCACTTATAATATACATCACATCCTTAATTTTATATCTTTATGGAAAAAAAACTTATATACTTACTCTTATATATTTAAGGTGTTTGTTTTCTATTAAATCAAGACATATGTACCTTTATATATTTATTTTATAATAAATTCTTATTATTAACATTATTAACATATGAAAATTCAAATGTCTTGATATGATTGGAAAAAAATATATTAAGTATATAAGGTTAAGTAAACAAGTTTTACCCTATCTTTATTATAATATCTATATTCTATGAATCTATTTATTATTATTATTATTTTTTTTTTAAATATCAAATCCAACTATATGTTGGGATTAAAATATAAATTAGATTAAGTGATAATATATAAATATTATTAGAATAAAGGGTTAAAGGGAAATTTTAGAATTTCACTTTTAAACTATAAGTTCAAAAGTATTTAGGACTCTAAACTTATTTTTTGTACAATATTCTTCTTTAACTTTTAAATATTTTATCAAATCAATTAAGACGTTAGTTTAATGATTTATTGGTTCAACGAGAATAATTAACTCAAGTTTTCATACTATGCTTATAAGAAATATTTGTAAAGCTGAAAATTTGTGCAAGCCATGTTTACTTAGGTCGAGCTTAAAATACCTTATCATATAAACAAAGCTTATATAGTCAAGCTCGATCCTAATTTCTCAACTTTTTAAGCTTATTTGAGCTAATGCGAATACCCAAATTGTTAAATATTATTTTATTTTTTATCTAATTTCAATTTTATTTTAAAGAATTAATATTTTCAATTTTAATATTATTTTATTAATAATAAAAAAAGAATTTAGTATTTGGGCTGGGCCCATTTGGGGTCAGACGTGGCCTAGATTTCTTTAGATTTATTTGGGTGGGTGAATAAGCCCTAAAAAAAAAAGAAAATCTTTAAAACTTTCAAGTTCGACAATAAAATCTTTCAGATTTATTTAACTCATTAAGTTTGACCCAAATTATTATATCTAAATATTCATTGTAATTTTTTTTTAAATAATCATATTTAGGATACTATTGCACACTAAATGTGAGTACCTTTTTAAATGAAAATTTAAATTTTTTTTAATTTATCACGTTATGAGTTGTTTTTGCCAAACCTAACTATTGTTGGCCTACAATTTTTTTTTTTGGCCACAACGCTGGCATACACTGGTTTTTTTTTTTTTTTGCCAAAATGTTGGCATACACTCTTAACGAGTATAGTTTCATTGAATAGGTATGGGCCGGGCCTCTTTCAAAAAACATGACAGCTGTGATACTGTTGAATCGCGGCCATGGGCCAGCAAATATCGAAGTCCTTTGGGCTGACCTTGACATTCCCTCTGGAACTCATGTTGAAGCTCGAGATCTTTGGGAGGTATATTCTCACTTTATGCTTAATAAATTAGTTAGTCATTCAAACATGCCGATGAGACATTAACTGTTCTCTTTGGGAGGTATTTCATATTTATTTGTAATTAATTTATCCTATGAAATAAAAATAAACATGAAAAGAATAGTTAGTTTTAATGATATTAACTGTTTTCTTAGAAGGCTGTAAGTTAATTAATTTTTTTTATAATTTTAAATTGATGAAGTGTGTGTCTAAAAAATTTATACTCCCCTATCTCAAACTATAAAATAATAAAATTTTTACATATATAAACCATATTATAGGATCAGTTAAACAAACAATCCAATATTTATTATATTTTACATTATGACTGGTTTATTATATTTGTCAATAATATAGCATTATATATCAATAATAAACTTTTTGTAAATTTTTAAATTTTTAATGATAAACACCTAGTATATTAATGATAAATCTCTTATATATCAATCTGAACCAATTGCGCACTCAAATTTTCAAAACTTTGATTCATATTTTTCGGGCACTAGATTTTTTTTTTTTTTTTGCTAATGAGCCAATTTATCCTAAAATAATTTGAGACAAGATGTATATTAACAAAGTTCAAGGATGTCACTTTATAGAGATAATTTTTTAAAATAAAAATATAAACTTTTAAAAATATATTTTATATAATATAACTTTATTTGTTATCGTTTTAATTTTTTTCACTTAAAGGGTGATGTAATATTAAAAAATATTATTAATAAAGCTTTATTTTTATCAAATTGTATTATATTTTAGCACAATGAAATACCTTCAACAACATATTTTTTTCTATGATATTTTGGTTGCAGCACAAGACGATAGAAGGAGGATTGGTGGACAAATTGAATGCAACTGTGGGGCCACATTCTTGCAAAATGTATGTTCTAAAGCCAATAGCATGAGGATCAGGAGCACTTGGACTCATTCAATTACTCAAAAATTTATTATTATTATTATTATGAATATTAAAAAAATAATGGATGTCCATCTTGATCACATCTTTATTTTCATCTTCTTTTATAAAACTCTTACTATCATGAGAGTTGATTACCCTTTATTTACTTTTATTATTTTTGTAACATTTGATGTGTAAGACCATACTTATAAATAGAGCATGTAATTTGTATTGAAGGACATAATAATCCATAAGAAATTCTCTCATTCTCTTGTCTCTACTTCTTCTCCCAATATCTTTATTTTCTAGTTGTTTAATTTTATAATATGTTATCAGTATGAGAGTTCTAGTAGTCTAAAGGTTTTGAAGCAGGGTTTCTAATTGCAAGGTAATTTTTATGTTCATATATAACTTAATCTATTTTCTAACCATTTGATCTTTTTAATCTTGTTTAATCTTAAATATATCATCTAATTCTTATCATATTTTTATTATAGTATCTGTATGTTGAATCATTCAAAACTTGAGTTTGTGGCTCTTCACATTATTGGGAAAAATTATCTCTCTTAGGTACTAGATGCAGAAATCCATCTAGATGCCAATAGTCTTGGAGACACAATCATGGACGGTAATTAAGCATCCAATCACAATAAGGCCAAGGCCATAATCTTTTTTCATCACTATTTACATGAAGGGTTAAAAACTGAGTATCTAACTATAAAAGACCCCCTTATTTCTTTGAAATAATTTAAAAAAAAGGTATAACCATCAAAAAACTATAATTCTTCCAAAAGCTTGTTATAAATAGATGCATTTACGTTTACAAGATTTTAAATCTGAGTGAATATAACTTAAATCTGAGTGAATATAGCTTGTTCATATATAACTTAAATCTGAGTGAATATAACCCTGCAATTTTTAGAATCAATTCTCAACTAAAATTATGTGAATAAAAAGTCATTGATGATGATATGTTAGAAAAAACATTCTCCACATTTCATGCATCCAACGTGCTCCTGTAGCAGAAATATTGTGAAAAAGGTTTTTAAAAAAATATTTTGAATTGATTTCTTGTCTTTTTATGACTGAACAAAATAATGAGCTTTTGATGAAAAATCATGAATTTAGTCCAATTGGTTCTACTTCATTCCCTGAACTGAATGCAGTGTCAAATGAATCAGCTTAGGGTTGTGGTCGTGGTCGTGGTCGTGGATGTGGCTGTGGCCGTAGTCATAGTAGTACATCTTTTTACCAGAAGTGGACAAATAATGAAAAGAAACACAAAAAAGGCACAAGTGGGGATAACAATTATCATTATGGTGGTAAAGGTCATTGGTCACGTACCTGTTGTACTCCAAAATATTTAATTGGTCTTTATCAAGAATCGCTTAAAAGTAAAAGTAAAAATAAAGAGGTGAAGATACAAACACATTTTGCTTCTGAAGAAGGTGATTTTGATTATGATGACATGAATGTTACTCATTTGAATGTTTCTGGTTTCTTTGTCAATCCTAATGGAAGAATCAATCACCTAATTAGGGATGGAAATGTCCAGAAATAAATTTCTTAGATGTCGTTGTTGTTAAATTTTATACTTAAGTGTTATTTTAATTTTCTTGCATTGGAATAAAGAATTTACTTATAATGTTGTTTTTTTAAAGAATTTACTTATGATGTTGTTGTTTTTCAATGAATAAAGTTTTTGTATTTCATGTTTTAATTATATATTTTTATATTTTTTAATGAAGAATCAGTATTCATTTGATTGGTACCAACGACAATAATATAGATATGTGTCTTTTTGATAGTGCAATAATTCATACAATACTCAAAAATATTTATATTTTTATTCTTTAGTAATGCAAGAAATCAATGTTCAAATTATACTCAGAAGTATGAAGATGATTGATGGGTTTGAAAGAGTTAATATATTGTTGCCTGGAAGAACTAAATTACACATTGATGGTGCATTTTATTCTACTAATTCTAGTAGAAATTTATTGAGTTTTAATGATATTTGCAAAAATAGATACCATATTGAGACAATAAATGAAGAAAATAAAGAATATCATATTATCACGAATTTAACTTTTGGTAAAAAAAGGCACACTAAAAAAAATTACATACCTTTTCCTCTAGCTTGTATTACACATTTATTAATACAATTGAAATACATACTATTGTAAATCAGAAGTTTACAAATGGTAATAAATTCAATGTTTGGCACGATAAGTTAGGCCATTTCAGGTCAATTATGATGCAAAAAATAATAAAAAATTTATGTGGACATTCAATGAAAGGTCAATAGATTCCACATTCCCATGATTTTTCATGTATTGCATGTTCTAAAGAAAAGTTAATTATTTGACCATCACCAACAAAAATAGAAAGTGAGTCTCTCACATTTCTAGAACACATACAAGGTGATATTTGTGGGCATATACACCTATCATGCGAACCACTTAAATACTTTATGGTTTTAATTGATGCATCAACAAAATAATCGTATGTTTTCTTGTTATCTTCTTGTAACTTGGCATTGATGAGATTGCTTGCTCAACTTATTAGATTAAGAGTATTATTTTTTGATTATCCTATTAAGAAATTATGTCTAGATAATGTTGGTGAACTTACATCACAAGCTTTTAATAAATATTGCATGTCTCTTGGAATTGATGTTGAACATCCTGTAGCACATGTTCATACACAAAATGGACTTGCAGAATTATTGATTAAATGCTTACAATTGATTGCACAACCATTACTTATACAATTGAATATCCCAATATCTACTTGGGGAAATGCAATTTTACAAGCAGCATCATTAATTCGTATTAGGCTAATAAGTTATCTTAAGAGCTCTCCTTTAGAATTGATTTTTGGTCAGGAACCTAATATTTTCCATCTAAAAATTTTTAGATGTGCAGTATATGTTTCAATTGCTCCACCACAACATACTAAGATGGGTCCTCAAGGAAGGATGGGAATATATGTTGGGTATGAATCTTTTTCTATAATTAAATATTTAAAACCATTAACAGGAGATTTATTTATTGCTTAATTTGCTTATTGTTATTTTGATGAATCAGTTTTCCCAACATTAGAGGGGGAAAATAAGCAATTGAAAAAAGAAATTAGTTGGAATGAATTATCATTATCTCATCTTGACCCTCATATAAAGCAATGTGAACTAGAAGTTCAAAAGATAATTCATTCACAAAATTTAGCAAATCAATTGCCAGATGCATTTACTGACATAAAGAAAGTAACTAAATCACATATTCCAAATGTTAATGCTCCAATTAGAATTAATGTCCCAATTGGACAGCCTATTATTGCAAATGATTCTAAAGCAAGCATAAAACATGGAAGGCCCATAGGTTCCAAAGATAAAAATCCTTAAAAAAAAAGGAGCTAGAAACACAGATGGTCAAATCGAGGACAATCAAGAAAAGTTAGTAACTCATGAAGAGTCATTTGACACTACTAATTTTTCAATTCCAGAAGAAACTTAGATTCTTGAAACGTGTGAAAATAATGAAATCTCAATAAATTATATTATGAATGGAACACAATGGGATCAGAATGAAATTAACATTGATAATATTTTTACATATAATGTAGCGCTTGATGTAATAAATGAAAATGAGAATCGTGAACCAAAGTGCATTAAGGAATGCAAACAAAGAGAAGATTGATCAAAATGGAAAGATGTAATTGAGGTAGAATTAAAATTACTTGACAAGAAATGTTTTTGGACTTGTAGTCCATACAACTGAAAGTGTCAAGTCGGTTGGGTATAAATGGGTTTTTATCCAAAAAAAAGAATTGAAAACGATGAAATTGTAAGATATAAGGTACAACTTGTGGCTCAAGGATTTACACAAAGCCCTAGAATTGATTTTATTGAAACATACTCACCAGTGGTGAATGCAACTACTTTTCAATATTTAACTAGCCTGGCAATAGGTGAAGGACTTGATTTGCATCTAATGGATGTTGTTACAGCATATTTGTATGGTTCACTCAATTGTGACATTTACATGAAACTCCCTAAAGGATATAAATTTCCAAAAGCATACAATTCAAGTTCTCAAGAAAATTACTTAATCAAATTAAATAAATCCTTATATGGAACACTTAAAGAGCTTTCAAAAGTTATAAATCCTAAAGAGTTTGCTATAATTACTGTTTATGTTGATGATATAAATATCATTGAAACACCTGAAGAGCTTTCAAAAGCTATAAATTGCTTAAAGAAAGAATTTAAAATGAAAAATTTGGGAAGAACAAAATTTTGCCTTGGATTGCAAATGGAATATATGAATAATAAAATTTTTCTATATCAAGAAATTTATACAAGAAAGGTCTTAAAATAATTTTATATGGATAGATCACATCCGTTATGTACCCCAATGGTTGTAAGATTATTGAAGCTTGATAAAGATCCTTTTGGACCTCGAAAAGATGATGAAAAACTACTTGGTCTAGAAGCACCATATTTTAGTGCAATTGGAGCACTAATATATTTTGCTAGTCATATATGATCTAATATCTCATTTGCTATTAACTTATTAGCGAAACACAGTTCTTCACCAACACGAAGGCACTGGAATGGTGTTAAGCACATTTTTCATTATGGATATGGGATTATTTTATTCCAAAGTACCTAAAGCTAACTTTATTGGTTATGAAGATGCTGGATTTTTGTCTCATTCGCATGTTGGTAGATCACAAATAGGTTATTTGTTCATATATGATGGTATAGCCATTTCATGGCAATCTATGAAATAGACAATATCAGCCACATCATTTAATCATGCAAAAATTCTAGTTCTACATGCAGTAAGTCGAGAATGTGTGTGGTTAAAATCATTAATCCATCACATACGAGCTACTTGTGGTCTGTCTCTTAATGAAATGATCCTGATGATTGTATACGAAGATAATGTTACTTGTATTGCCCAATTGAAGAATGGTATATTAAAGGAGATAGAATGAAACATATTTTACCAATTTTTTTTACTCACGATCTTTAAAAGAATGATGAAATTAATATCCAGCAAATTTGTTTCAAAGAAAATTTGGCTGATATGTTCACTAAATCACTTCCTACTAAAATATTTGAAAAACTTGTTCATGATATTAGACTTCGCAGACTTAGAGATATCAATTGACGTTGTCAAAAGGGGGAGTTAATAAGCGCTATACTCTTTTTCCCTTGTTTAAGATTTTTTCCCTTTGGGTTTTCCTAATAAAGTTTTTAATGAAACAACATTGAATAACATATAAATAAATGATGTACTCTTTTCTTCTGCTAGGTTTTTTCCCACAAGGTTTTTCCTAGTTGAAGTTTTTAATGAGACACATTTTTATATAATGGACATGCAAGAGAGAGTATCATGAATATTAAAAGGATAGTAGATGTCCATCTTGATCTCCTCTTCATCTTCATCTTCTCCCATGAAACTCCCACCATCATGAGAGTTGATTGTACTCCCATGAAACTCCTACCATCATGAGAGTTAATTACCCTTTATTTGCTTTTATTATTTGTGTAACCTTTGATTTGTAAGGTCATGCCTATAAATAAGGCACGTAATTTATATTGAAGGACATAATAATCCATAAAAAATTCTCTCATTTTCTTGTCTCTACTTCTTCTCCCAATATCTTTATTTTCTAATTATATAATTTTATAACAATTATTAATCTCCTCTTTGTTGTTTTTACTTCCTTTTTCGTGTTAATCTCTTGTATTAATCAGGAAATACAATACTTGGTTTCTATTTTACTTCTCATATTGTTTTCATACGCTCACTTGAATTGCCTTAATAATTTCCTTTCAATGTATATAATTTTTGCAAAAGTTATTAATTGAAACCTCTTAATTAACAATATTCATAAAAGTTTAGTTAATGATAGAGTATAATGGCATCATACAATTTATGTAACCAATTCTAATTAATGGGATAAAGTTTGTTGTTGTTGTACACAATTTTTGAGTGATCCATGATTGATTTCTTTGATTATATTCACCAAAAAATATTATGGATTATTATGCATGCCTATGTTTTACATATTTTTACTCTTATGTTATGGTTTTAAGATTTTAATATTTTTAACTCTTATGTCTTTTTTTGAAAATATATTTTAAATTTTTAATATTAGAATAATTAATATATGGGTTACAATTGCATAAAAAAAATATGGGATATAAGTTTTCCACCACAAAAATATAGCATTAGTAATTTTAAAATTTAAATTTTTATAAAATTTAGATACTTAAGGTTTGAATACTAATGATTTAGAATTGTCAAGTTTGCTCCCACCATAATAAGTTCCTATATTCAACAAGGAGGACTATAGTCACCTCCATCTTCATCGTGACTACTCAGAACAATTTTACAAAAACCAGCTCATTAACTTGTTCACTAGTTAGCCTTGAGGGGGAGGGGCTTGTCATTCAAGCTCATTTAGTAACAGTAAATTTTTACTAAACAATTTTTAATATTAAGAATTATGTTTGCTCCTCAAATTTATCGTAAAGGTTATTGGATATCGTAAATTTAATTATAAATTAATTTTATCTCTCATGAAGTGAAAGATGCTTTTCGAAGTAGAGGATTCAATGCTTGTGCAATTTTCATGAAGGAAGCTTCAAAAATAGGGGAATAGAGGAAGCAAAGAAACATGAGGAGGAGGAGAATGAGGTTGAAGGAAGAGTTTTTGTTGGATGAGTTGGGGGGGGGGGGGGAGAGGAGGATAGAGAGAGAGAGAGTAGTATTTTTATGTTTTTAAAAAATATTAAAAAAATGATAAGACCCAATATTAAATAATTTATAATAAAAAAATTTAAAAATTTAAATATAAGACCCACATAATAAGAAAATAACTAAATGTTAAGAAACAAAATTAAACTTTATTTAAGTTTAGAATGCTCAATAATCTTTTGAGTAAAGTTGAAAGATAACAATAATTCTTAATTCCAACTTTTATTATAAAACAAGCATCAAATTTTGTATGTATATATATAATATATAAAATATGAAACCCATCGCAATTTAAATGATGTACAGTGTCATTTATATTATGCAAAGCATATGATCCACTATCATGTTTATATAAGAATATAAATACAATTTAACATCAACAAGGTCACCGCAAACTCAACAAGGTTCAGAATTTTCTTGTTCTTTTTTTAAATGAAGAACTATCAATTTTTAGAGTAAAGAGAGATATACGATTACTCAGGATAGTTACAAATCAAAAGGTTACAGTCTGGGAGGGGGGGAAAAAGCCCAGGCACCAAGATCACAAAAAATAGGGGAGGGCAACAACAGAGAACTATCAAATTTCCTTTCGCTATATTACTTCAATACTCTATCCACAAGTCACATTTGTCCAAACCAATTTTCAGCCTGAAAGAGCTGAAAATAAACGTCACCGTAATTACGCAACTATAGTATTCAGCTTTGCTTTCAATCGCATGACATCCGCAATCTGGTCCATCTATCGGAAGAGCCTAGACGCTGTTCTCTTGCAGACTTTTCCTTCAACCTTTAGTCGTCTGTATGCTTCCCTCAGATGGCAAGGCCGGATTGGCCCAGATTCTTTCCTCTCTTTCATAACTATTCTAGCTACATAAATAAATTATATATTAATTGAGATAGTTGAAATCAGCATATTAGCAGAGTAATAATCCAGCGAGAATGTGAGATGCATCATTTATCCATGAGATCCTAGAGAATGACATTGGGAATAAATCAAATATTTAGTTCCATCTTTGAATGGTTTATTTTGTTTCTGATGTAAGCATCTTGTGATTATGAAGGAAAACTATCATTACCTGTTTCAACAACATCACCCACAAACATCTTTGCTATGCCTGACACTACAATCGTCATTGGCACAGAAATTTTCTGGGTTCCAGTAATGCTTGCTAACAGCTGCTTCAATGCGATCAAGAAGGGCATAAAGGGGCAACTTGTGAGCAATCTCATTACAAGACAAATTACTAGTAAAATTAAAAAGCAAAAATGGAAGTATTCACAGTGGTGCAGGGGAGAATCAAAAAGAAAAAACTCAAGCAAGTCAAAAGTAGCAACTGAGGACAAACTGAGGTAACAGAAACTAGACTTCAAGAATAATGAGAAGAAATAATGGAGACAAGGAGCTCAAGCAACAAGGAATTCAAGAAAGCCAGAGGTAAATCGTTTCAAACAACTCAGATTAATTTCTAATTTTCAGGTTGTTTGACATGGTTACAGTAATATAACTTGACCATTTGAGTGTTTATTAATTATCTAGATGTCATTTAATTAAAGAAAATAATTATTGGTTAGTGCACATAAAATAAAGGTCAAAGGTGTCCTTTTATAGTCATAATATTGACATAAAACGAGGTGAATCAATGATATGATACATACATTTTGTTATTAAGTCTTCAACTGAATTCTTTTAATTAATCCCTAATTCCCTATTAGATATTATAGTAAACTATTCAAGGACTGCCACTTAATAACTCAAGCTTTTGACATAGAAACTACCATTATAGCCAAGTGATCATGAGCTCGACTTCACTTCTTTCAGCCTTCTCTTTCTTATTCGAACTTGGAGCACATAGGCTATTGTGGTAGTGTGGTTTAAGATATATCAATAAAACAATCATAGACCTTATCAAATACTTAGCATTTCATTTAAGATGACCCGTGTACCAGAGCCTTTGTGACCAAGTTATCAAGACTTTGACCCTTCTGCCCTCTTTCTCTAAAAGGTTAAATTATTTATAGTCCCTGTACATCTATTTGATATTTAATTTGATTTATGTTGGGCTTAAAAGGGACAACAAGAGCATAAAATTGAAAAAGTAGAGAAGAGAATGTTAAAATGGATGTGAGGGCATACACAAAGAGATAAAATCTGAAATGAATATATACAAGAAAAAGTGAACGTGACATTGAAGGGAAAATGGTAAAAAATTGTTTGAAATGGTTTGGATATGCACAGAGAAAGCCATGAGAGGCACCAGTGCGGAGTGTAGAACAAATAACCTCAAGCCTTGTAAAGAAGGGTAGAGAAAAAAAAAAAAACTTATAGAAGTTATTGAACGAGACTTCTTAGCTAGCAATATTCCTAAAAGCTTGGTTGATGATAGAGCACAATGTTATTGTGCAATTCATGTAGCTGATCCCAACTAGGGGGATAAAGTTTGTTGTCGTTGTTGTTATATATATATATATATATATAATATAAAAAAAATTTAAGTATGTCTTTATAGTTTCAAAAACAATATGTACTTGTAACCAAACTCGTGCTCCATCTCAATTGAAACCTACTGACCTAAACATATAATTGCCATGTTGGCACTGATCAGCACATTCAAACTACTGCAAGTGACTTACATTCCCAGTTTCCCTCCTTCACTAACCACTCGTCATGGGGATTTGGAATAAGCACACTGTTGGACATCAAGCAGCTTGTTGCGATTTATACCATTCTGGGCATCGAGGAGGAGGAGGAGCTATTCCCTTTTAGTTACTTTTTAAGTAGAAGTACAAAGGTCATTTCCACTCACATTACCTCCAGTTTTTCCTTGCCCTCTTGCAGCCAAACACACACTTACGAATGACGTGATGAAAGAGGGTTAGGTAGAGGAGGTAATCCTACCAACATGGCAATTATAATTTGTATGTCCAAATCACTTAGTTTTAAGATGTAAAAGAAGAAATTTGATAACAGGGATCTAACTAAATTTTCTAAACTACAAGGACTTCACACAAATATTACAGCCATATGGACTAAAGAATTGAAAGAAAGTATAAGTTGATAAAAGAATAATTTAACCTCTATTTACCAAAGTTAAGCTTTAGTAGAACATAAGAATCTCAGTATTTTGTGGGTAGAAGAAAGAGCAGGATAAAAAAACATACCCTTTTCATGTTAGCTTTCTGAAATCCAGCCCTTCGAAAAGACTCATATCTACTCATTTGTTCTTCAGTGAACCGTGATAATATGACCCTGGAGCAGCAGGCAAATGCAACATTTTAAAATAATTACAAAGGCAAAATAAAAATAATAACAAATAAACAAACAAAAGGAAAAACAAATAAATTAGGATCAAGAAAAGAAACTAGATCAGCAAGTGAAAAACATGGAACAAGATTTGTAACATATAGCAAGGTTCTTGGAAAGCTACGTGCCTATCCTGCCTTCACAAAGTTCTTTCTATTGTTCCTTTTATGCATTTTATTCAGACTATGCACTCACATGCATTTTCAGGTATTTATTATACAGAGCAAACTTTAGGTTTGGAGTCACTTTTAATCTCACAGCCAAGCCAACCGAGTAAAAATCAATAGCACAGTGATCGCATCAGACTTAAGCTTTTTGAGTTCACCAAAAAAAAAAAAACAAAAACAAAGAAATGCCTCCGCTTACTGCATCTTGGCCATTTTATCAGGGTCAGCACTTGATGGGAACTTGCCAAGTTCAACATCCATGTTCTCTTCCTCCTCCTCATCCTCGTCATCTTTATTCTTAGTGACATTGGTCATGGGCCTGCCGCTAGGCCCAGCTGAATGAAACTTAGTAGCTGGAGTGAATTGAATTGCTGTTTTAGTGCCACTACTATTCGAGATGTCATCCTCTTGGCCAGCGGAAGTACCCTGCGCACCTACAGCACTAGGGTTTTGTTCTTCAAATGCCTCAACTGGGGATTCTGGTGGTGAATCCTCTTGTTCCTCAAATGCTGCTTCAAATGGATCTTTTGATTGCTTCATTCTGTTCCGGGTTGTTTTAAACCTATTCCCCTGAAAATGAAATCATTCGATCAAATGCAAAGAAAATCCTCTGGCAGTTGGTAAGTCATGAAATTTAAAGCATACAATACACGAAGTTCTCGTTTCAAGTCACTTGAACAATGTTATATGAAAAAACTGAAACTTCTGTTATTAAGAGATCCTACAAAATTCTCCAAAGCAACACATTTTTCCCAACATTTCGTTGCCAACAAATATAGCAAAACCAACCGTTTTTCTAACACCAAAAGAAGGATCAGATGGTAATTTAAAGAATATTTCCATCAGAATTTGGGGTTTACCTAGAGGTGGAGGAAAAAAAAATGGAGCAACTTTCCAATCCAATAAAATCACGAAGAGAGCACGAGGAAAAGTTTATAGATAAAGAAACAAATATCATCAACTAAGCGACATCGAATAAAATACTCCTTTCAGCCACCGAAATTTCCAATTGAGTATTGATAAAATTAAAAACACACCTGAAAATTGCAACTAGCTCCGCAGACGATAGTTATGGAAGAGGCGCGGCGCAGGGGTAGAGAATTGGGGAGAGGGAGAGAGGCACCAGCACGAGAATCCAGAAGGAACCAGAGAACGATCGCATTGCGGCTTAACCAGTGGGTTCGAGTCTTGTGAGAACGGTATTGCTTGAGGCAAAAAGATAGACGGAAAAAAAAAACAAAAGCATTAAAAAAAAGGGAAAATCACTATCAGGTACCATGTAACCATTTTAAGTATCCAAAAGTTCCCCCAAAACCATAAATAATTCTTAGGTCCCATGGCACTTAAATGCAAATAATACTAAAGTTGAAGTTACCAAAATGGCACGCACTTCGCGTCTCCTTCCCCGCATGTTCTGTGTCTCCAACCTCCAATCTAAGAAATCAATCTAGTCTCCTCCTATGTCTGCAGCTAAGCAATTTCTGTCTTTCTCCAAAGGAGAATCGAAACTTGGCAATGTCCAACACCGAATATTCCTCCGGATCTCTCCCTCGCCATCAGTCCTCAGACAACTCTTCCTTGCTCTCTCTTCCTTCTATCAATATGCACGCTACTCATCGTCTTCCCAGATCCGAATAATGTATAAGCAACTCAAAGGACAGTTCCAATTGTGCCAGGAGATCGGTCGCAGTCGGTTCGGCACCGTCTTTAGCTTCTTCCACCCCGCCTCTCGCGAATTCTTTGCCTGCAGAAAAATGTCTAGCTCGCGGACTTTGGGTCGGCGATGGAGGGACCATGAGCGGGGTGGTGGGGATGCCGCATTATGTGGCGCCGAAGCTGCTATTGGAAAGGCAGTGCAAAAAGAAACGAAAAGAAAAAACTTCAGAAGCTATATGTCATGTAAACAAAGAGAGAATTAAAGATCTTTCATGGAAAAATAGAGAGCTCCTCACCAGTGTCACAGGCTAACGCAACAGAAAAATGATGCAAGAGATGCTTATCAGAAGTGTGTTTTGTTTTGTTTCAAAATGGGGTTATTTTGGTAACTTTGGTCTTATTTACATTAAGACCATGAGACCTAAGAATTATTTATAAATTTAAAGAGACTTTTGACTATTTAAAATGGTTGAATGCCTTGATAATGATTTTTTCTTCAAAAAAAACTTCATACATTTTTAAAAAATTAAATTATACTAGTAGTAAAGAAATGAATGAGATAATAAACTTTAGTAAATAGAGACATATATATATTAAATATATTAACTTTAATGTATGTAAATATTAAATATATCAATTTTCGCTTGAATATTGTGAAAGGAATGTTCTCACAAATAATTTAAAATGTCTAATGAATTTTCAAAACAAATATATTTTTTTAACAAAACAAAACTATTTGTCAAGTATATTGAGTAATAATGCAATGTTACTATTAAAGGTTAAGTTATATTTTTGCTTTTAAATTACTTTTCAAGGAACCCTAGTATTTTAAACTATTTATTTTATAGTATTTTTTTTTGTTTGGATAAATTGGTCCATTGGTTTAAAATGATTGTGTCTAAAAAATGTAGACCAAATTTTTAAAAATTTGAGAGTGTGATTAATTCACATTAATATATAAGAGATTTGTCATTAATATACAAAGAGCTCGTTATTAAAACTTTATAAGGGATTCATCGATATGCAAAGGTATATAATTTACAAATATAATAAACCAGTCATAATACAAAATATAATAAATATTAGACTATTTATTTGGTTTGGTTTTATAAGCTATGTATGCAAAAGTCTCTAATTTCTTCCCTAAAATAATTAAAATGTCATATATTTTCAAATTCACTTAACATGACAAGTGACATTTTTTTTGTAAGATTTATGTTCTAGATATCATTTTTAACATTCAATATTGATGTATTTAACATCAAGAAAATATATGTTACATTGTAATTACTTTATGGATAAAAATTCCCACCTCAAATTATTTAAAACATTGGTGATCTTTAAAGAACAGTTTGAATTTAAATTCGGTTAGTGACTTAAATACACTTACTCGATAAGTGTCTAATGTGACATGACAGTATTAATTTAATTTAATTTATTAATGATTTTGTCATATAATACTAACAAAACATTAAATCTTAAATTTTTGAAGGGGACATCATGAGTGAGGAGTATTCTGATCATGTTGATTATTTTAAATTTTTCAAGAAAAATATATCTTGATAATTTTTAAATATTAATGAAATTCAATTACTGGAATTAAGACATTGATTAAATGAGTGTATTTAGAATACCCATTAAATGCAAATCCAAATAGTTCGAGACAAAAACATCAACCTTACCATTTTCACAACATTCAAATCCATAAAATAGAAAGATGCATTATTTAAAATATTCACTAGAGCAATGAGAGAGAGAGAGAGAGAGAACACACTAGAGCGCCAGAGAATAGTGGGAGCACCACTGTGGGAGGAGGAGGAGACAAGATTGATGAAGGTTCGAGGGACAATATTGATTATCTAAGGGGAAGCAGTAAGGAAACTAATGATATGTTTGTTTTCAATAGTAGTCCTATGCCGCCAAGGAATAATGGTAAAGGAAAAGGGATATTCTAGGAGGAGCTTAGGCAATCTGGAGAAGGTAGTTACTCCAAACCTAGCATGACTTACAAGGAAACGTAGCAGGCTTCCTGTCGAAAAATGATGCTAATGATGATATACTAAAGGATAGGAGGGATATTTTGCATTGAAGAATGCTGAAGAAGAAAAAAAGGAGGAGGAGGAAGAAAGCAAGAAGGAAGAGGAACCAAAATCTGGAGGTCATCGAAACCTGAAGCTCTAGGTATTCGTGGAACAATATGAAGCTTGGTGCAAACCACTCATAGTGAAGGTGCTGGGAACAAACATCTTTCTTAGAATTTTGAAACACAAATTGGAGAGGATGTGGAAACTTCAAAGCTCTATAAGAGTGACACCGTTAAACAATGGGTATATTATTACTTCCTTCTCAATGAAAGAGGATTTAGACAATGCTTATCAGGAAGGTCCTTGGATGATTGAAGACCGTTATGTGTTAGTTCAGAAATGGCATCCTAATTTTAACTCTTGGAGGGTGAAAACTCAACATTTTATTGCTACCTATATTAGAATTTTAGATCTACCTACAGAATTATACAACGCTGAATCCTTATGGCTTATTGGGAATATGGTAAAAAACCTTGAAGATTGATCATTCCAGTTCTATATCGGATAAGGGAGGGTTTGTGCATATTTGTGTTGAAACAGACTTGAGCCATCCCCTCCTTACATCATTCATAAACTTTGGAGAGGAGCATCAGTTTCAGCATGAATGTTTGTATCTGGTTTGCTTCTATTATGGAAGATATGAACACCACAAAGAGGTTTTCCCAGAACTAGAGTTAATAGAAAAAGGGAGTAATGGAAGAGGTGAAGAAATAATGAATAAAGGGTCAAACACGATGAAATTAGGAGTTCCAACAAAGACTACTAGAAGTTCATCGAAAAATGGGAGAAGACTAGTGATAAAGGAAGTTAATGCGAAGATTTCCTCAATGAACAGAGAAGCACATATTATGGGATTTGGTTTTGGACCCCAACACCTGGTTAGGCAGAATTTTTGGAATAGGAGTTTGGAGTCAAAGGTATGAAGATTGCATGAATTCGACACGAGGATCAAGGAGGGTGAGAAATAAAAGGCAATCACAAAGGGATATCAGAGGGTAAATTTGATGAGAATCAAAGGGGAATTAAAAAACAAGATTTGAAAAGTCAAAGAGGGGAGAATATTTGACAGTTTGGGAAGGACACCAATCAACAGCCAAAATCCAAGTGGGTCTTAATTGGAATTAAGCCTTGTGGAAAAGAGAATCGTTCACTAGTGTTAAGACTAACAACCCTTCATGTTAAGCCAAATGGACCCTTAGTGGACACTCCTCACCTATTTGTAGCACTTCGTGATGACAATTTTGGGCCAGAGGAGGCAAGACCACCCAAACCATATGAAGAAGTGGACTTAGAAAGGCCCCTAGATTTGATGCAGAGCATAATAATACACAAGGTAGAGATAATGGACCACAGCATAAAAGGCCTAAAGTGGTAAAAGAAATTGGTGTAGATGTGGATATGTAAAAGGAGGATAATGTGGGGGCCTTAAAGCCCAATGAATCTAAAATGAGTTGTTAATAAATTCCATTATATGAAATGTTAGAGGTATCAGGGGACAAACTTTTCTAAACCTTATTAAATAGCTGAAAAGGGGTTATGATTTAGATTTCATTACAATTTTAAAGACTTGGTACAATGGTAATAAGGTAAAAAATATTGGTTCTAATATAGGTTTTTAGATTCTATGATTATAGATACAAATGACTTTAAGGGCGGCATCTGGTGCTTATAGGATTCGTCAAGGCTAAAAGTGGTGCTTTTGGGAAAAAAAACTTTCAATTTACACACTTGAAACTTGAAAATCTTCATGAAAAAAACTAGTGGATGACTAGAGTTTATGCCAATCCAAATATTAATTTAAGAAAGAAATTTTGGAGCAATCTTCTACACATCCATAACTCAATTCTAGGAGCTTGGCATTTAGCTGGTGATTTTAATACAATACTCCTACATAACAAGAGACTTATGAGAGCTATCAAGAGTAGAGGAGTTGATCATGACTTTAGCAAATGGGTGGAGAACTATGTAATAGATGACATTGGTTATATTGGACCAAAATTTTCTTGGCAAAGAGAAAATGTGGAAAGCAGACTAGACTGTGTCCTGACTAAATCTTCATAGATAGAGAAATTCAAGTTTGCTACTGTTACTCATCTCTATTTTTTCTCTTTTAGTCATTGGCCTCTTCTTTTATGTTTGCAAGAAAAACTAGATTACAAGAGAATAGACTGACCCTTCCGTTTTATTGCTGCATAGGTTTTGCATGATAATTTTGACACTTTTATGAAGGAGAATTGAAATACAAATGCCTCGTGGAGCGAACAAATATCAAAATTTTCTTATGATTGTATTGATTGGAACAAAAAAGTGTTTAGACGCATGAAATTGTGAAAGAACAAGCTTATCAAAAGCTTAGATGGAATCTCAAAAGGTATGTCGAATGAAAAACACAACAAAAATCTTGTTAAACTCCAAACTGAGTTATGGAAAGAGCTCGAGGCTATCCTTTAACAAAATAGTATTATATGGGCTCAAAAAAGCAACTAGGCCCTCTTGGGTGATAAGAATACTTGATATATCCATATTGTTGCTAATGGTAGACGAAAAGCAAATAAAGTGGGGGCTCTTAAACAGGACAATGGGAATTGGTGCTATGACAAAGCTATTCTTAAAGACATGGTAATGAACTACTTCACGGACATATTTCAAGAAGAAAGAGATAGTAGACCAAAGCTCAACTCGACTTTTAGCTACTTGTTATAATATCTGGGAAAATTAATCGTGGTTAATTAACCCAATAATTTTGATTCATGAGTTAATAAGGTGTGTGGCTACAGGTGCTTAGCTTGGTGTAATCATTATGATTTCAATCCTAGAAGTGGGTCCGAATCAATGGTAGGCCACTCGGGCAAGGAAAGAACAAGAAAAAGTGAAGGTTTGCTCTCTGTACCACATGCTACGGCACATGATAAATTTGTCGTGGTGCATAGAGGCACATTTGAATGTGGCGAGCCTTTTTGTGCCATGCACTGCAGCGTACGGCTAAAAATCTACCAAATCAGATGTGTCTTTACATATAAAAATAAAATAGAGGAGAGAAACATGAAGAGAACGTTGAAGCTCTGCTAGTGTATGCACATTTAGACATTTGTGGATAGATTGAAG